GCACTTGTCGGTGTTGAATCCCATCCTATTCTCATCCGCCCACCCCTGTAACCTGTCTAGGTCCAATTGCAGCCTATTCCTCCCTTCTAGCATGCTCACTTCTCCCCACATCTTAGTGTCATCTGCGAATTTGAACAGGGTGCTTTTTACTCCCTTGTCCAAGTCACTGATGAAGATGTTGAACAGTGCGGGCCCAAGGACCGAGCCCTGGGGGACCCCACTACCCACATCCTTCCAGGTCGAATAAAACCCATCCACCACCACTCTCCGGGTGCAGCCCTCCAGCCAGTTAGTGACCCATCTGACTGTGTAGGTATCAACGCCACAGTCTCCTAGTTTTTTAATGAGAATGGGGTGAGAGACAATGTTGAAGGCCCTCCTGAAGTCCAGAAAGACAGTCAGAAGACAGTAGATAGAATCATATAAACATAGAAAATTAGAGTTGGTAGGGACCTCAGGAGGTCATCTAGTCCAACCCACTGCTCAAGGCATGACCATCCCCAACTAGATTATCCCAGCCAAAGCTTTGTCTAGCCGGGTCTTAAATTCTACAACCCTGACTCACACTGAGTATTTATATACATTCTTTTATAAACGGATGCACTCCACACTCCATGGCCTGTTGTCAGCAAAAAGCACCTGGGACTACAGAGATAATTTTGTCAATGACCTCTTAAGTTGGATCATAGTTGGTTCACTGCTGCATCTCAGTTTTATAAAATGAAATAAAATAATGACTTTGGGTTAGATATTAGGAAGAATTTCTCACTAGAAAGGTTGTAAAGGGAGACTCCACAACCTCCCTGGGTAACCTGTTCCATTGTTTTACTAGCCTTCTGGGAAGAAAAGTCTTCCTAATATCTAACCTAAACTTCCCTTGCTGCAACTTGAAACCGTTGCTCCTTTTCCTATTATTGGGCACCACTGAGAACAGTCTAGCTCTGTCCTCTTTTGAACCCCACTTCAGGTAGTGGAAGGCTGTTATTAAATCCCCTCCATGTCTCCTAATCTCTAGACTAAACAAGCCTAGTTCCCTCAGTCTTTCCTCATAAGTCATGTGCCCCTAGCCCTTTCACCATTTTTATTGTCCTCTGGTGGACTCCCTCCAGTTTGTCCACATCCTTTCTGTAGTGGAGGGCTCAAAACTGAACACAATACTTCAAATGTGGCCTCACCAGTGCTGAATATAGGGGGGAAATCACTTCCCTTGACCTACTGGCCACATTCCTACAAATACAGCCCAGTATGTCATTAGCCTTCTTTGCAAGAAGAGCACACTGTTGGCTCATATTCAGCTTAATGTCCACTTTGCAGTTGTCCTTGTTGAAACTCATGAGTTTACTTTTGGCCCAATCCTCCAATTTGTCTAGGTCACTCTGAATCCTAGACCTACCCTCCATTGTATCTATTACTCTCCCCAGCTTGGTGTTATCTGCAAACTTGCTCAGGGTGCACTCTATGCCATCTTCTCGGTCATTGATGAAGACATTGAACAAAACTGGCCCCAGGACCAACCCCTGGGGCACTCCACTTGATACTGGCCACCAATTAGACATCAAGGCATTGATTATTACCCTCTGTGTCCCATCCTCCAGCCAGTTTCCTATCCACCTTACAGCCCACTCATCCAGCCTGTAGTTACTTAGTTTGCCTGCTAGAATGTCGTGTGAGATGGTATCAAAAGCCTTGCTAAAATCAAGGTATATGACATCTACTGGTCTCCCTGCATCCACAGAGCCAGTCACCCCATCATAGGAGGCATTCAGGTTGGTCAGGCATGACTTGTCCTTGGTGAATCCACACTCACTGTTCCTAACCACCTTCTTCTCCTCCAAGTGCTTAGAAATGGGTTATCAACATACTGGTAGAAATCCTTCCTGTTATCCATTTCATCCCTTGCTTGCTGCAATTTCAATTGTGCTTTGACCTTCCTGACTTCATCCCTGAATGCCCGAGCAATGCTCTTATATATTTCCTAGTTATTTGTCCAAGTTTCCACTTCTTATATGCTTCCTTTTTGTGATTAATTTACTGAAGAGTTCCCAGCTAGGCCAAGCTGGTGTCTGCCATACTTGGTGGTCTTCCTGCTCATCAGGATGGTTTCTTCTTGCATTCTCACTAAGTCTTCTTTAAAGTACAGCCAGCTGTCCTGGACAGCTCTCCCTCTCAGACTGGCTTCCTAGGGGATCCTGCCCATGGGTTCCCTGAGTGAGTCAAAATCTGCTTTTCTGAAGTCCAGGGTCCTTACTCTGCTGTCCATCATTCCTTTCCTCAGACTCCTGAACTCAATCATCTCATGGTCACTGCTGCCCAAGTTGCCATCCACTACTACGTTTCCCCACCAATTCTTCTCAGTTTGTGAGCAGCAGATCAAGAAGAGCAGGGCCCCAAATTGTCTGCTCTGTCATTTGCACCAGGAAGTTTTCCCCAGTACTCTCCAAAAAACTTCCTGGATTTCCTGCCGTATTGCCCTCCCAGCAGATGTCAGGGTGATTGAAGTCTGCCATAAGAACCAGGGCTTGTGATTGGGAAACTTCCTCTAGCTGTTCGAAGAAATCCTCATCCACCATTTCTTCTTGGTCTGGTGATGGGAGTGCCTGGGAATAAGCTGGCTTGCCCCAGGGCAACACAGGGAGGTGGCAGGAGGCTGGCTGCGTGTGCTGGTGGCTGAGGAAGGCAACGGGGATGGTGCATGGGGCACTGGAAGCCCAGGTGGGCTCAGGGAAGTTCGGGCTCAGCAGGCTTCCAGCACCCCATGCACCCAGCTGCTCTTCTGCCACCTTCCCACTCTACTCCAGGGACAAGCCAGCCCATTCCTGGGCAGTCCCAGGCAGCAGGGACAGTACACGGGGCACTGGAAGCCCTGGCAGGCTTGGGGAATAGTTGAATCCAGCTGGGTGCTGCCTCCAAAGCAGGGCAGAACCCAGCCTGCCTGGGCAGCCCTGGGGGGTGCCACCATCACATAGGGAAAGACGAGGGGCCCCCACAGCTCAGGGACCACTCAGCCTGCTGGTAGCTAAACTAAACCACATGGGGGCGTGTTGTAGTTTGCAACATTGCAAACTTATTTGAAACCCCCAAACCTTGCACACATGTAATGTGTGACACTCATAAGCCACACAAAAGAAATTTTTGTCACGTGTACATGGTGATGATCATTATGTGTACATGTGCCCTAGCTGATTTTCATATAGCTGGTATGACTTCGTAGAGCTACCAGGAATAACAACCCATTGGAGTCTATAAAGTCACCAGAGCAGGAAGCAAATACATTTTGATTAAAAACATTTTGTTTGTTTGTTTGTTTGTTTGAAGTCACTGTTCTCACCTACCTGCATTTTAATGATTTGGTGTAGAGCATATTGAGCAGTCCAGTACATGTACAGTCAAAATAGACTCTTCACATTGATTTAAAGGCCTGAAAGACCAGGTCATAGTGTGAAGTTTAGGATTCTGCTAAGGCTGATCTGTAAAGTTATATCTGAGCCTTTTCTCTCTTTCTGTCTCTCACATACTCTCTCTCTTCCTGTTCTGTTTTGTCCCATGGAAGGTTTTGGTTGGCTGTCCAAAATCTCAAAAAACAACCTCTGCAAGATGTAGCCAACAGAGTGGAGGAAATCTGGCAAGAATTTTTAGCTCCTGGGGCACAAAGTGCCATCAACCTGGACTCACACAGCTATGAGAAAACAAGCCAAAATGTCAAGGACCCGGGGAGGTATACCTATGAAGATGCACAGGTTGGTTTGGGGTTTTTTATTTAACTAAAGCTGCTAGTTTTTCTATGCTTACAAATGTTTTACTGCTAGATTATACTCCACTGACTTAAAAAGAGAAAGAGAGACAAGCACTTGAAAGTGATTTTTGGAGCTTTCCACTCCAGCTCGGCATCTGATATTTCTTTGAATCTATCAGCTTTAACAGGCTAATGCTCCTCTGGGAGCAGATGGTCTTAAGCTTCCAGATCTGCAAGGAGCATTGAGCTGCAGCAATGGTCCAATCAAAGTAGCTGAAAGGAAATTGTGAAGTTTGGTTAGTCATTCTGGACTTCCTACCCCAAAAGCTTATCACATACAAGAACTGCTATCACATCAACCCTCCCTGGTTGATACATATTTATTTTACTTTCTTTATTTTTAATTAAGAAGCAGCAGCTCCACATGGTGTGACTAGAAACGTTTCTGTCAGACCATGCACCTGGAAAACTTGTAGGCTAGTGATCCATAAGTTCTTTTAATTCCTTCCCATTTAGAGCTCCTGATTCATCAGGGAAAAGTGCAGATAAACTGGAAACAGAAAATGCCCTTAGGCAAGGTTTGAATTATGGGGGAGGTTGGGAGGGAGCTGAGCCCCACCATAATCGATGAGAGCCCCCTGTAACATTTGAAAATCATAACCGGGGGGGGTCTCCGATTTTATTAGGGCATCATGATGGAAAGCCCAATTTTTTTTGCAGACCCTCCCCCACCCAAGAGTCAAATTGTAATTCAAGCTCTGCCTTTAGGAAAACGGATACTCTATTAAAAAATTCCTCCAAGTTAGAACAAAACTGCACACCCTTCTAGAAAGTTGACACGTCATTATGCGTAAGCAAAAATGGACACATGGAAAAGGAGATTAGTTAATAAGTAAGAACAGAAAATAATTTAAAAATATTTTTTCATAATCAAAGCAAAGTGAAATACAGCAAATACAAAAGAATGACATTTTTGTTTATAAAAATGGCATTCTAAAGTGATGTTCTAAATGTTGTATTAACATTGATGTATGCTGTGATGCATTTTGGACCATTCTTGTAATGCTTTTTATATGGTTACATAAAGAGTTGTGTGAAATACTATGTTCCTTTGAACTTACAGTCTTGATCCTTGTACCCAGGTAAAAAGGGATGTGTTCAAATCCAAATTAGTTTCCTGTCTAGAAAATATAGGCCAAAGTTGTCAGAGACAGGACAAGAGTGAGGTCCAAGTAAATTGATTACAATGGTTAATAGAATTATTGAAAGCAAGACTGACTGCTTGACAATGAACATTTAATCAGTAGAAGATGACAAGAATCTAAACTTGGACTGATCAATTCACAATTTTAAATGCTGCCAATAAAATTGAGCGGGAGTTCTTAAGATAAGTTTTAGGTAGGGGCAGGGTCTTCCCTGATAGATTTTATTACAAACAGTTTTTACAGTGTCTGATTGCCCCAATTTGTCTGTTACATTTAATGGAAATAGGCCAATGGCCAAGAACTACAAGGCTACAATGAAAGCTCTGCCTGATTTTCATCCTACCGGAGATTACACCCCGGTCAGTGAAAACATTCCAGAGATAAAATTCAGAGGATGTTTGTGGGGAAGATGGGTGCCTATAGATGTGCTCATTCATGTTCTAATTAGAATGTGTTTCAGCAAACTCAATTTAGTCAGTATGCTCCATGTTCTAATTAGAACACTTCAGCTTTGCTTCACTGTCACGTTTATTAAGCCCCCATGCATTTTCAACATGGTCACAGGGGCACTTTATCTAAGCCTCATCAAGTGAGCTTTAGCTAAAGTGTCCCACAACTATTTTGAAATGTGTGAAGCTTAATGCATGTGACAGTGAGCCATTTTAATAAGAGCGGCTGTCGGGGAACTGCTCTAATTAAAATGCCCCCCTCTCCCCACCCCCCAAGCATGTGTATAGGCAGCTGATATGTCCAAGTTACCTAGCTGTGCACTGCAGAGTCTACAGCCATCAGAAAGCCATACCAGTAATTTCTGAGTCAATTTATAAATTAACAAATGAGGCAACAAACAGAAATAAGAAGAAATATAAAAGCCAGATGCACTTATGGGAAGATAACACAATGACAGCTACCATCACTTCATCTCAAAAAGAATTGTTTCTGGTTGCAATGTCACACTTCACTGGGGCTACATCTGGAGGTGGTTGTTTTAGAGTGGCATGATCTCCCTAGGAGCCCAGTCAGAATAAACTACTGGTAACAAAGTACACATTCCCCAAGTACTATCCTTATATTCTCCACCTGTTCACATGGCAATTACATGGTTGGATTGCAGCACCCTGGCAAGTTGTGGGCACCTTTTCCTTTAGCACCATACTATGATAACTCACTTATATCACAATCCTGTGACACCATATGCAGCCAGTGTGGGAGAGAAAATCAAAACACACTAGTGTGGGAGGGAAAATCTGAGTGTCTGAATAAAAATACACAAGATAAGAGAGAAAATACAATGATGTGAGTGTCCTTAGATAAGAGAAAAATTCAGTTTACAAAACAGTGCCTTCTTTAATGGCCTACAACTCAAAAATGCTCAGATGCCCTCTCTTCAGTTGAGAATAGAAACACAATACCTGGAGGCACCAGGGCCTGTAAGCTGAACTGTGAGGCAGCACCTTTAAAATTGTCAGGGGCACACAAGAGAAATTAGGAAGGAACACAAGCATAAGCATAACTGGGATGGAGGAGGAAGGAATATGACAAAGTGGGTTTCAAACCAGTGAACATATGAGGATGAAAAGTCAAAACCATAGCACAGGGGTGGGTAGTCTCTGGAATGCATGCTGCAAGTGGCACAGGCAGCCTCTGCATGTGGCATGTGGTAGTCTGGGGAAGGGGAGGCAATACAGCAGATCAAGCAGGGAGTAGAGCAGCAGATCAAGTAGAGACACAGGGCAAGGGACAGAAAGAGGAGTGGATCAGGCAGGGGAAGGGGAAAGGGATTACAATGGCACTGATGAAGAATATGAGGATTAATGTGTGGCATGCCTGCCAAAAAGGGTTGTCCCTCCCTGCTGCAACATATTCTGATATATTTTATGTCACAAATGCCCATGACATGTTATAGCTGAATGATTCCCTGCCCCAAAGAGCTCACCCAGCAAAGATACAGCCACCAAGAACAATAAGCAAGGCTGTAGCAATAGCTTTGCTGAGGAGACTGACATAGGAAGAGCACATGGAAGAAGTGGGTTCTAGATTGCACCGGAGGCAGCAAGGCAACCCAGCTAAGCTGCTTCTCCATCCCCTGGTGCAATCTAGCATGGGGAATAGGGAAGCAGCCCAGCTAGCATGTCTCCTGCCCCCGGTGCGATCTAGCACAGGGGATGGGAAGTCAGCCCAGCTGGGCTGACTTCCCATCACCAGCAAAACTTTGATATAGTGTCAGAACAGCTTTTCCATTTTGATGGAACAGCTGTTTCAAATTGAAATTAAATTTGATACAAAACACTGTTCCGTTGAACCATCAAAACTCAAGGCAAAACGGAACTGTGCTGTTCCACACATCCCTACTCTTCTTACTCCTGTATTCCCCACACTACCATGTATGTATCCACCTGGCCTTGTAGCACCTCTTGCTACAGACAGCCATGTTCATGCTCTTCAATCTTAATATGTAGCTGCCAATTAAATGATTATTTTCTGCTTTTGGACAGCTGTCCAATAAGCAAAAGATTAAAATGATCAAAACAGTTTTCAGCTGGGACTAAATCAGCTTTTAATATGAGAGCACCATGGGGAAAGGTCAGTTCAATTAAATCTGTCCACCACTTGCAGGAATCGAAACTCACAACAGTTATCAGCATCATTGAGCAACCAGTGTGACTTCCCAAGATATGAAACACTCAGGACTACCTCCAGAAATAAAAAGGGGTCCACTCCACCCAAATAGCCTCCTTCTACTAACTATCCAAAAGATTTAATTTCTTATGTGACACTCAGACAGAGTTGTAAATAGAGGGGTAGAGGGGCTTAGTTATGACACATCAACTGTGCTTGCTTCTGACATTCTCTTTTTTTTTTCAAAACCCCATGCTTTCCAAATTTGTACAAGATTGCTGACCACTTGCAATGTCCCTTGCCTTCAGAAAGCCATTAATCTATGTTCCAGCCTTCTAGACCATGGCATTGTAAACCAGTATCACAAGAATGCACTATTTCCTGATAGGAATGCTTAGTTGTAAGGTACTTCCTTTGGAGCCAGGCATACTTTAATAAAACATGGTACAAAGTTGCCTTTGAGACTTCTTTCATGGTTTTTAGCCAGACTTTTTAGCTGTTTGCTTTTCTTGTTCAATAAACCAAACAGGTGTTTCAATTTTATGTTCATTTACCTGAACTAATCTGCTATTGCTTCATATGGAGATGATTTAAGGGAATTTGGTTCTAATCTCAGCTCATTCAGGGACTTTAAATGCACTACTCAGAAACTTGCCTAATTCCAGAGCAGCTGTAGACCATTATGCCAAACTTCATGCTGCTTTGGATAGAGAGATACATCTGGGCTATTCACAGCCAAGTTCATAGCCCAGCTGCCCAAATTTGGATCCAGTTAGTTTTAGAGATATGAACCCTAAAAAATTTTCAGGTGATCATAACTCAGTTTCATTTTGCAGATGAGTTTACTGGGAACTGCCATCAACATAGGTTTGAAGCAAAGCTGAAACTCATGCCTCTGGACCTTAATCACTCTCTCATCTTTCCCTAGCAAGACCATCGGGGCATGTTCTAAGCAAATAGTTTGGTCTTTCTTCCCCTCCTTGCACCCAGCCACCCCACACCTATATAGGTATATGCTCTTGGATGTCTAATGAAATAAAGTTGTGGAAACTGAGGCAATCCAGAGAAATTCATAGATTTGTTCTTATTCCATAGTAATTTAGTAACAAAATGCAGAATAGAACTCAACAGTCCCTCTTTCTTGCTCTCTTGCTCTTTAGCAGCAGATCGTGCTCTTTTC